CCTGGAGAAGAGAAGGCTCCAGGGAGACCTGGCGGCCTTCCAGCACCTGAGGGGGCCCACAGGAAAGCTGGGGAGGGACTGTTTACAAGGGCTCGCAGTGATAGGACGAGGGGCAATGGTGTTAAACTAGAAACACGTAGCTTTAGATTGGATATTAGGACGAAGTTCTTTACCATAAGAATGGTAAAGCACTGGAACAGGCTGCCCAGACAGGTGGTGGAGGCCCCATCCCTGGAGACATTCAAGATCAGGCTTGATGGGGCTCTGGGCAACCTGATCTAGCTAAAGATGTCCCTGCTCACTGCAGGGGGATTGGACTAGCTGACCTTTGGGGGTCCCTTCCAGCCCAGTGCATCCTATGATTCTATGAACTGCTCCAGTGTGGGTCTCCTTCGTGGGGTGCAGTCCTTCAGGAATCAGCTGCTCCAGTGTCGATCCCCCCATGGGGTCAGTAGTAGCAAACCTGCTCTAGCGCGGGCTTATTTCTCTCCACAGGTCCTGCCAGGAGCCTGCTCTGGTGCAGGTTTCCCATGGGTTCACAGCTTCCTTCTAGCCTATGCTGGTGTGGGGTCCTCCACAGGGTGCAGGCAGATATCTGCTCCACCGCCCATGGGCTTCAGCTGCTCCAGTGTCGATCCCCCCATGGGGTCAGTAGTAGCAAACCTGCTCTAGCGCGGGCTTATTTCTCTCCACAGGTCCTGCCAGGAGCCTGCTCTGGTGCAGGTTTCCCATGGGTTCACAGCTTCCTTCTAGCCTATGCTGGTGTGGGGTCCTCCACAGGGTGCAGGCAGATATCTGCTCCACCGCCCATGGGCTGCAGGGGGACAGGCTGCCTCACCATGGTCTTCACCACAGACCTCAGGGGAATTGTTGCTTCAGCGACTGGAGCATCGCCTCCCCCTCCTTCTTCACTGACCCTGGTGTCTGCAGAAATGTTTTGCATATTCTCACTCCTCTCTCGCTGCAATTACTGCCATGCAATAACTTTTTTGCTTTCGTAAACACATTATCCCAGAGGTGCAACCACTGTCACTGATTGGCTCAGTCTTGGCCAGCGATGGCTCCATCTTAAAGCCAGTTGACATTGGCTCTATCGGACATAGGGGAAGCTTCTAGTAGCTTCTGATAGAAGCCACCCCTGTAAACCCTCTGCTACCAAAACCTTGCCATGCAAACGCATTATAATGGAACACAGTACTCCAGATGTGGCCTCACCAGGGCAGAGTAGAGGGGGAGAATAACCTCCCTCAACCTGCTGGCCACACTCTTCTCAATGCACCCCAGGATGTCATTGGCCTTCTTGGCCTTGCTAGAAAGTGCCTGAAACTTTCAGGAGCTGAGAGGGAAGATTCTTGTAATACACAAGTCTGTGTCTGAATTGGAGAATTGAAGTCCTTGGTAATTAGGTGACCAACTTTCTTTTATAGTCTCAGATAATCAATTTGTGTAGGATTCATGTAAAATGATGGATTGACAACCTTTTAGCATGCATCATCAAAATTGTGGTATTTAGCAGCCTGGGTTCTTGCTGGTTATACAATTACAGTGAAAAATGAAGGGCAGTCCTATTCCAGGTCACTTGAAACTTTAAATGTGATGCAACAAGTGAGGATTGACACAGTGAGACAGGAACACAAAGGCTTGTGTCTGTCTGTGTACTACTATGGGACTTGTCTGTTTTGTTCTGGATGAGTGTGTGTACAACAATGAATTTGATTTGTAAATATTTGTGGAAATCTTTCAAGTATGAGGGGATGCTTTGATAAGCAGACAATGAAGTCTGAGACAGTGGGTCAATTGAGTTTTCAAGTCAGTACTGTAATAGTTGCTGAGAGATGGTAAGTAGTGTGAAGAACGGCTGAGAAAAGTGAAGTAGCTTCCATTTGTGATGGAAAAGGGGGAGCCATCAGAATGGTTTAAAGTGAAAGTAAAATAGGCAGGTTATTTCTGCAGTGACAAAGTCAAGATGGAGCAAGATGGGATTTTTTTTTTTTTTCCCCAAAAGCCAGGAAGAAAGGAGGTTGTATTTCGTCAATGAAAGCCTGTACAAGAGTTTTTATTAATCATGTGTAAGATAGAGGCTCACTGAGAACAGTGGCAGGGAAATCCATAGCGATGGTGAAAAGTGGAGGGAGGCTTCCTTCTGTGTCCCTTGTGTGAACAGGAAACAAATGAATATTTTTACCAATGTTTAGTCTGAGATGAGTAAATATCCTGTTGGCTTGTTCTTAGAATGGTGCGAGTTCACTCCCTACGAAGTTGGATTTCACAAATATGGAGCTTTTGTCCGAACAGAGGACTTCGACAGTGAGTTCTTCATGGGACGGCTTGTCCAGAAACGTCCAGAGCCTAGGATTTGTTTTCTACAAGGTATGATCTTACAGTAATGAATAAAATGGGGAGATGGAAAGGAGCTACACTGCTTTGGGACTCAACTTGCACCCAGACATTTTTGTCCCTTCCTAAAGGATTTGAAGAAGGGAAAAATGTCAAACCTTTCTCCAAAGGTTTAGGTATAGGTTCATAGTATTACAGTCTCGTGTCCTGAGTCTGCAAGATGACTCTATTATGAACTGCCTGTCAAAAACTTCTACTTTAGGTCTTCCCAGTCTTTTGCCATATTTCTCTTGCTGATAGAAGAGCTTTTCTCTTGGAGAAGTTTCTGCATTATATTATTATGTCGGAATTTTTCACATGATTAACTCAAAGGTTTAAACTCAAACATCACCTGTTATAATAGTAGGGGTCAAGTGACAGCCCTCTCCCATGGCAAATGGCAGCTGAATTATAGGCCTTTTGGTTATGCTGTGAAAAGCCTTTTGAGTATTAAATCATTCCACATTTTTCCTGCAGGAATGTGGGGCAGTGCCTTTGCTGCAAGCTTGGATGATATCTGCCTGAAGGTGGTTGGTATAGGACTGGGCTTTCTTGACTCTTTCAAAGATGTTGTCAAAGTTGTGGGTAAGAACATACATTAAAATAATATGATTTTTCAAAAGATTCCTGGTTTTGGAATGATCATACAAATAATATGATTCAAAAATGTGCTGTATGTAGCTTTCAAGATTAGCATAAAGGATGGATTTGGACACATCTCTCTTGCACTGTGTGTTATTCCCTTCCATCACATATATAGTGAAGAGAGTAATTGTTTTTCAGTACACTTTCTCCTCCTCCTTTTTTAAAATTTTGTATCTGGCTTTGACTATAGATTTGGGATAAATTCTCCCTAAATTCTGGAAGCTGTCTTAAACACATATTGCAGTGCAGGAGTCTTAATCATGAGAAGAGGAAGAATAGAAGCTGGATTGCTAAGCAGGAAGTGGAAAGTAGGTTTTCAATTCCCTCCTTGGCCTGATTTTTGTCGTCTTGGACAAGATTGTGTGTTTATGCATCATTCTCCAATGGTACAATGCCTCCCCAGCAGTGAAAAGGAAGTGTATTAGTTATAGCCTTATAGTAAGTAGTGGGGGAAGATACTTTTTCTTCTTCTCTGCTTTTACGGTCTAGTTTCCCTTGCCCCTCCCACTCACCCGCCCCGCTTCTGTTATCATAACTAGAAGTGCTACTGTGCATGGATGACTGTTGTTTTATGAGCCAGAAGCGTTTGTCACTTGGTAACAAGGGTTTCTTTGTGGGGTTTTGAAATGAATGTCAACAATGATTTATGAATAATGCTATTTCCTTTAAACAAGGCAGGTAAATTATCCAACTATAGAATAAGCAACCTATTCAAATTTCATTACAATGCTTTTTTATTAGAGGACCTGTATTAGAGCCTTAGGACAACTGGTTAAATATTGTAGAAAAAAGTCTGATTGAAATGTTGGAGCTGGACAAGCGTTTTCTATGTGTTCTCCATCTTTCTGTGGCTTCTGCAGATGACTGCCGAAGATGTCATTTCCGAGATCCAACACGACTGAAGACTCGCTTAGTTATACCTGGAGGCCCCTTGTTACAAATTTTTCAGGATTTCTTCAAGTCCCGGGTCACATGTGGAGAAACCTTCAACTTCATGCAGGGATTGTATCTCCATAAAGATTATGTTAACATCAAGAAATTTGTGGCTTGGAGAGGTAAATGAGTCTGCCTGTATCTGGGATATAAAATAATGTGTTAGTACTCAGTCAATGCTACGGAACATAAGTGAGCTTGACTTTATTCAAGTCAGGGAATTTACCCCTTCTTACACTGTAGTGAAAAAATTGATCCACTATGTATATTCTGTCATATAAGGCAAGCTCATCATCAGATTTTACAGGTCAGTCTCAGATAAACATGCGTATTGGAGTGTCTTTTTGCTTCTTATAGTCCCAGCATAAGCTTTGTTAGTTGCTTGCATGGAGAGGTACATAATGAATCATTATAGTTACTTGTGTTACTTGGAGTGTCTTCCAGGCACTCATCTGGATGCGTTTCCCAACCAGCTGACCCCCATGGAAGAAAGCTTGTACTTAGTGGATGGTGGCTTTTCTATCAATTCTCCCTTTCCTTTGGTACTTCAGCCAGAGAGGGATGTGGATGTTATTTTGTCATACAATTTTTCCTGGGAAGCTCCATTTGAGGTGAGAAATGTAGCTGAGCATTATTACGTGAAGATGAAAGCACACAATCATATTCACAATGGCAGCAGATCAGTTGATGCTGAATACAAACACTGATGAAAGAATGCATTAAAATATATCCTTACATCCTTCAAATATTATTGTACTATGCTTTTTACTGTGTGTGTCATGAGGAGATGGAAAGTGACAACTGTAATAAGATTCAAAACCTTTCAGAAACCTAAATAGATTGTTACCTAAGTATTTACTTAAGTCCTATGATCCTTGTAATTTAGATGTACAGTTCTAATGGAGAAGTGGCTATTGGTGATTTTCTTCATGCAAACACGTTATTTCCTGTGTATACAAGTGTTTATTTTTGTGTGCAGAAAAGTCTAAGTGAATATAGAGTAACAAACCATAAAAAGTTTCAGCTGCGAATGGTTGATGTTTGGTAGCAGTTCTCAGTTCTGCTTTTCATTCTTCTTCCGTATCACCAGGCAGAGAAATTCTGCCAATTTGAAGTTGGATTTCTGTCACTCCTTTGGTGAAAGTCTCTCTCACTTCAAGGATTATAGTTAGATGATCTTAGAGGTGTTGCTGGTATTCTATTAAAATTATTTTTCTTCTTTGACAACAGGTTTTAGAGCTGACTCAGAAATACTGCGAGGAGCGGGAAATTCCTTTTCCAAAAGTCAAATTGAGTGAGGAAGATGAAAAGAAGCCAAAAGAGTGTTACATGTTTGTGGATGATAATAATCCAAAGGCTCCCATTGTGCTCCATTTCCCATTGGTGAATGACACCTTCCAGAAATACAGGGCTCCAGGTAAGGGAGGTGTGTCTTAAAGAGCTATTTTTACAGTCCTTGGGTGTGTCGACAGGGAAGATTCAGTGGGCTCAGTGTCTCTGCTTTCATTCTTCTTAGTATTACCCTCTAACTATCAAATTGTTATTTTCATGTAAGGTGGAATCAGCTTCCACTAGTTTTTTGGAAAGGAGAGTGGGAGAAGAGGCTGACAATTAAAAAAAAAAAATTAAAAATCTCAACGCTGGAAGAATCAAAATTAGGCAATTTTTTTGCACCTTTCTGCTCTGATACCTGATTTTGTTGCTTCTAGTTACTCTGAAAATATGGGAAAGCACTATAAATCAGATTAAATAATAAGTTCATTTGTTTATTGGATATGAATAAACCACTAAGCAGCAAAGTGTTGGGGACCAATTGGTCCCCAAATGTCAGATCACGTAACTCAATGCTAAATGGCCTGTGCCCTTGTAGTGTAAGGTCAAGTGATAAATGATCCTTTCTTCATTTGATGTGGTTAATATAGACTGTAAGGCCCACCTCAGTCTATCAAGCAAGAGCCCTGGGATGAAACATAGAGATAAACATTTAAGAAGAGACAGACAAAATTCAACGTCCTATTTCTCGTATGTTGGGAGGAAACAGCATCCTGAAGAAGACCGTTGGAACATACAGAAAAGAATGTGCAGGACTGACACAGGCAAGGGAGATGTGAGGCATTCTGTTAAAGCTATCATCTGTATTAATACTATAATGATTGCCAGGCCCTGACTAAGTGTTTCCTCATCAACAATGAAGAGTCTTAAAGTGTTGGGCTTGAATATGGCTCAAGACTACTATTTCTATAATAGCAATAAGCAAAAGTGTTCTCAGCAAATTACTCTAACATTCATCTTTCAAGATCGGTATTTAAATTTAAGTGTCAGGGTGATAAAAACATGAGTTACTGTATTTTGAAGAGTATGTACTAACCTCCTAAGGTCAGTTGAACTCAGGGTGCTAGTGTCTTTTATTTTAGTGTAGAATAGCACTTCCAGGAAGAATTGAGCTTTGTAATTCTAATTTTGAGCATGATAATGGATGCACTAAACAATTTATCACAATGAAAATGTGTTTTAGTCCTGTATTTTGGAGTCTAGTGGAAGTAGAAAGAGTAATAATACTTTACCTTCAGCTTCCAAGCATTTTGGATCCTGAAGGAGCTGAAATCTGAGGAGCAGCTTTGGTATCTGTGATATCCTCCTTGCAGAATCCAACTAAAATGAGTCTACCACAGCTAGATGTTGTGTGCGTGTGTGTGGTGTTTTTTTTCTTGCTACAGGTATTAAACGTGAATCAGAAGAAGAGAAATTCTTTGGTGACTTTGTCGTGGAGTCAAAAGATTCTCCTTACCGTACACTAAATTTCACCTTTGAGCCATACAATTTCAGCAGGTTAGTTGAATTGAACCGCTACAATGTTCTGAACAGCAAGGACACTCTCTTCAAAACCCTAAACTTAGCTCTGCAAAGGAGAAGGTTGAAGAAAGCCATTGATACATCCAATACATGAGAAGCTTCCATAGCTGAGGATACAGACAGGCTGCAGTGTACAAAAGCCACGTGGTTCATAACAGACTACTGAAAACTAATAGCTGGAAACTGTCATCTTGGGAAGGAAGTTGCACATGTGACACTGAAAATTCATTCCAGATAACAGATGCTCTTACGAAAACTCAAGGGATGTACAGTACAACATGGATGTTGCTTTCCCATGTGGGGAAGAGTAGGGAATTATCTAGCCCAGTATGTCATCCTACACTGGCTGATAACAGATGACTAGGGAGGTCTATTCAAACAGTTCAACCATCTGAAGAATCGTCTTCTGAACTCCACTGTGAAGCATCTCTCTCTGTCAAAGGTGCAGCACTGTTCAAGGAAACGCTGATTTCTTCTATACCTTTATCTCTCTTCCTTTTTGAACCTCCCTCCATCAACTTTTACGATTTACCTCGTCTGGCAAGGAACTCCACAGATTGTAACTATGCACTGAGAGAGGAAATGTGTTCTTTTGCTTTCAACTTGCCACTGGCTGATGCCCATGTAATTTCAAGGCTGAACAATATTATCTGCTTTCCATTTTTGCCATTCATGGTTTCAAAGTTCTCTGTGGTATTTCCTTCCTACCCTTCTCAAAGGATTTTAATGGCTTTTAGTCTCCCAGAAGCTCAGTATAGAGTACCTTACTTTGGTAACTATTGGGTTTTGAGGAAATAATAGTTCCCCTTTTTTATATTTAACAATTAAAAGCACATCACAGGATTGTATTGCTTCTTTCTACAGTTTGATCATCATGAACTGATGAAAATTTAAAAATGCTGTAAATCTCATCTTTCTCTTTCTGTGTAAGAGGAAGGAAGGCTCCTTTGAAGATTCCAAATTAGAAATTTTTTCCTTACACTTGGACTTGCAATTCAGCCAAAACTTTGCTCAAGGAATTTCTGTGTATGTCTATGTTTTAGAAACATCAATATTTAAGGTAGGCACACCTTATGAATGTGAATAAATAAAATTATGTCAGATGCTGCTATGCTGTGGGATGGAGTGCACCTCACTTTGCAGAAAGCTCAGAGAAAGTCCTGAATTATGCAGTTGGAAGATATCTAGTACAAAAGATCAGCAAGCAAACACTGTTTTCTTTTGTGGCTTTTACATTGAGCTGGATGTACTTATTCTGTATTTCAAAACTGGAGACAGGAAATTTGTCTTTTCTGAAATGATGTAAAGGCTTATAAACGGGTATGATTCTTGAAACATTTTTAATGTGTTTCTCTTTTAATAAATATTAGTTTTGCTAAAGTGTGTTTCACAGTTTTTCTTGGGAACACTTGTCTTGATGTATTTCCCCTATTCCAATAAAAAGTAAGCAAAAAAAAAAAAAGTCAATGTAACACTATATTGCATAGTTTCTTTTATTACATCAGGATACCTGACAATGGGAAAGTGACTTACCCAGCCCGTCTCGGACTGGTACTGTACAGCAGTTGAAAGTAAACTCTTCATTGTGAGACTTCTCTTTGAGGAAGCATAGCTCAAACCTGAATTTTTTAGATGTATTTCAAACAGTCACTTTGGGTGATTAAACTTTCTTGATATCTGGAAGTACGTATCTTTTTTGTCCTTAGGATTTATTTACTTAAGCTGAAATAAAAGAAACAGCAACTTAATTTTATCATTTTTCTTTACAATTGGTGCTGCACAGCTACCTGCTTTGTAGGATTTGGACATCTGTCATATTTACTGAGTGACTTTTATATATTTTTCCGCGTAAGATTTTCAAGTATTCTTTGTCTCAGCTGCCTTTCAGCCTGCCACCATGCTGTGCTGTTGAATGTTTGTTTGTAGTAGGATGGGAGTTTCCTTTGTTTCTCCTGAGTGGTTCCTTTTTTTTTTTCCCTGATGTGAATCTGAATTAAACTGCATGGTTTGATCTACTTCTGCTTTCTTGGTTTTGAGATCCTTTCCTAATCAGAGATGCTTGGACACTGTGGAGATACAGGTATTTAGATGGGAAGGTGGAATATCTTTGTCCAAAGAATGTATCTACTCAAATTTGCTGGGTGTATACAATGGAGTCTTTTAAGGCACAGCTTCTCTGTAAGTTCTTCCACAGTGGCAGGGCTTCTTTGTTGGAACAAGATATGGCGCTCTAATAGTTAATTTTAATTTCCTAAACTGGTATGTGAGTAGTTGCCTCATTTGAACTCCATGTTACAGCATGAGTGTTGTCCACAAATCTGTGCACCCGCTGTATGGCATCTGTTCTTCAGTCTTGTTAAAATGCTGCTTGTCATGTAGGAGGAAGGTGTCTTTTGTCCTGGCATTTAAATTCAAGACTAGTTATTAAGGAGAAATTAGCATGGCATCCCATGTCAAAGGAACTTTCAGGAGAAATTGATGTGTGTTGGTTTTGGGTTGTTTTTTTTTTTTTTCCTGAGTCCAGGGTTAGAGCTCTCTCTCAAAGCAATGCCACTGGGGAAAGGAGCCCTGAAAATGGGAGGATTGCACCAGGGTTTTTTTTGTCCTAGGAAGAACTTGCATGGATGCCTGAGTCTTGCTCTTGCCCTACGTTTACAAGAGCAGGTATGCATGCAGGCTGCATGTTAGTCCAGGAATAAGATGTGTACAAAAATAGCCTGCAAGCTAACCTGTCTTTCTAATATCTTAGCTTTATTCCAAGGAAGGCCTAGTTGGCAAATATTGATTGTTCTGAGACAGAGTGCACTCAGCTAATCATATGCTTCTCATGATTCATACCCTTTCATAATCCAGACTAGCCCCATGGTGTTTTTGCTGGTATCAAACACTTCGTTATTGTCACAGATGAAATATTTTGACACAATTATGATCGAGCAGCGATTCAAAATTTATTAATGGTGTGAGGCAGATCAAAAGTTATCCCAAGAGCGCTATCTGGGCTCTCATTTCAGCTTCTCTTATCCCTCCCCTTCTTTGTGTCTCAATTGTCCAAAAGAACAAATTTTGTTTGTAGCATTTGAGGTCCATATATGGCTGATGTTGGTGCTACAGCAATGCTAATACTGAATAGTATTAAAAAAAAATTGATTTACTGTATTTTAATTCATATGGTAACAGTGCTACAGAAATGGGCACAGGATCCTGATCCTGACTGTTCTGTCTTTCTATGAACAGCTATTCACTTAACTGCCTTTTCTGCCCTGTGTTTTCTTTCTTTTGAATGTCTTGCTTGAAATCTCTGGCTAAACTACAGTGGAGGAAAAATCCAGGTCCTACAACTTTCAATGAGCCTGGGTGATTGCATCTAGCTCTTAGCACGCCTTGAGGCCAGGTGCAAGGCAGTTGTCCTTGCCCTGAGCCATTGTGGTCAGTCCTGGCTCTGACTGATTCTTCTGGTGGTTGGCTTTGGGCTCCCAGAAGCTACTGGGGCAGCTCCAGGGCATCAAGGGATCCTAACAGAAAATGAAACAAATTCAGTGCTCTAAAACGTGTCTGGATTACTACACTTGCTGTTATTCATGCTCTGGGCTTGAGGTCCAGCTGAGCAAGGCTCTTGCGTGGACAAGGTCTGAGCCATGCATAGCTTATGTTTGCAGACAAAAGGTATCTGTCCCACTCACAGAGTCAGTTGTCAGAGCAGCAGTTAAAGGCAAGAGATTTGCACCATCATACAGTTGTCAAAGGGGTACTGGCTGCACTCTGGGAATCAACTGAAGATGCAAAGGAAGTGGAAAAACTGGGTCCTAAGTAACAGCAACTTCTTTTATAGCACTTTGTATTTGCCCTGTGGCAGGATAACTTGGGTTATTCTAGTTCTTCATAAATGTTCAGAGTGAATGATCTATATAAGTGATAAGCATTTAGATGAACCCGGATTTACACACCAAAGTAGTTAGCTACTATGTGCAAAAAGCAACAGCTCTTCAGGATTGCTGTTCCAGGTAAAAGACATTTTTGTAGCCTTCCATAACATAATTAATTTCTAAAGTATGGAGAACAAGGAAAGAACAAGGAAATAAAGTTTTATGTGTATATGTATAGCCATGATAAACCTAAAAAAATATGGCAGGAAGTTAGTACTTAAAAAAGGGTGGAGCACTACTGCTTATGCTGTAGGAAACCACATGTTATGATTTGCAGAAAAATAAGGCTTGGAAGTCATTCCTAGGGTAATGAGTTTCCAAAGAGTAAGTGAGGAACAAAGGGATGATCCAGTTGGAAGCATCATGGGTTAGTATATATATAGTTAATGGAATTTCTTCATACAGTCCTTACACATGAAAAAAATGGATGGGTTGCACAAAGCTGTCTTCAAAAAACAGTGATGAACAGGTTGAGAACTTGTGGGTGAAAATTAAAGGCTGAGCCAGCAAAGGAAACCTCCCAGTAAACAGGCCAACCTGAGCAAGGAGAGGATGAGCAAGATAATACCAGAGTTACATCCTAGAGAGCCTTAAAAATGTGTAAAACCCACTTCCACTGAGAAATTGAAAGTGACGAAACTGTCAAGGTAAAGAACTGTGGTTTTGATTATGTTAGTCAGAATTGGAAGTTGTGCCAGTGAATTAAATTGACTTGCGCTTAAATTGCAATCACCTTCCTTTGCTGTCCCTACAGCAGAATTACTTTAAAAACAGTTTTAAAAAAACTTCTGGTTTTGATTTGAACTAAGTGAATTAACCTGGTACTTCAGACTCTAACAAACCTGATCTTTCAACTATGATCAGCCTTAAAATTGAGTGTACTGCCTGCATCTGTAAGACCACCTATTCATATAAACAGGTATTACAGATAAGGTAGCCTTCCTTTTGTGAGGTTGCTAGATTGCCATGGACAAGGCAATTTTATATTTACATTCAGAAAAAAATGGGTTTCTTCCTCCACGGATAATGATCAAGTTATGTTTCAAGTAGCTGAGAGGCTTCTTTAGCTGAAACTTCTTTTCAGCTATAGTGCTTAGCAACTAAGATTTTGTAATACACTGCGCTCTGTAATGGTGCTACTGTTTAAGTAAACAGTGAATTCTTATGTTCT